CACTTTGCATATTAGCCTTTTATATATATAGTATATATAGATATATAGGTATATAACATAAACATCTTTTTATTCTTCTTGCTTACACCACAGGCAGCATCCACACAAGCTGCTCCGCACTGGTTTCTCAGTGCATCGTGGGTCCTGGGGACCTTTCCCTCTCGGCATAGAGAGCATGTCTGTGTTTCCTCCCACAGGGCAGCCTCCACTGCACAGGAGCCCCCATGGGTGGCGTCTGAACTGTCTGTGACTTTTGTTATTATAACTGATGCTCTAAGAAATGACTTTGTGCCCTGGCTGGTTGGCTCAGTGGATAGGGCATTGGCCTGTGCACTGAAGGGTCCCAGGTTTGATTCCGGTCAAAGGCACAAGCCTGGGTTGTAGGTTTGATCCCAGTGTGGGGTGTGCAGGTGGCAGCTGATGATTCCCTCACATCATTGATGTTCCTCTCTTGCTCTCCCTCTCTCTTCCTCTCTGAAATCAATAAAAATATATATTTTTTTAAAAAAGAAATAACTTTGTCCATCAGTTATTTCACACAACCCTGAGCTGATCTATCAGATATATTCCTAGAACTGGGATTTTGAGTCAATATATAAGTAGTTTGGATTAAGATTCTTCTACTCTCCTCCAATATAAGCTGTGTCAATTTATACAAAATTATACCAACTGATAGCAACACACGTCTAAGAGTGTCTGTCCCCCCACAGTCCTGCCATCAGTGATACCAACTACATGGTTTGTTTGCTGCCAAACTCACAGGTGGGAACGTCTCCCTGCTCAGTGAGACTGAACACCCTTCCCCGAGGTATTTCCTTCTGGGAACCGTTCATTTCTGTACGGAGCTGTTTTATATTTTGAGGAGATGAGCCCTTTCTCCAGGACGTGTCTGCACACACTTTCCCCACTTTGTCATGTGTTTGCTGACAGTTACCATTTGCCCATCCCCATCGCCTGTCCCAGGTGGAGGCAGCAGGGATGCTCAGAAAATGTCTGTGACATCAACAGCTTCAAGGAGCAAAGGGCACCCAGATCCCTGCTCTGAGCCTTGTGTTCACTGCACAGACCCAGGTCAGCAGCAGACACTCAGGCCTCCTTCTCCCAGTGGCCACAGCTGAGCTCAGTGTGGGGCCAGGCACTCACCTGCAATGGAGATCCTGGCTGTCTTCTCCTGGCTGAGCAGGGGGTTTCTGACGACACAGGAGACCCCCTTCCCAGAGCCGCCTTCCAGGATCACAGATGATGTGACTGCAAACAGACCCTCTCCATCTGCAGTCCCAGGTGCTGCCATGGCGGGCAAGCTCTCTCTCCCTTCACCCCTCCACTCTACGAGGGGCTGTGGATACCAGCCTGCAGACGTGCACTCCACACGGATCCGTCCATCTTCATAGCCCTTCATTTCAATGTGAAGATCAGAGCCTTGGGCTGGGGAAGGAAGAGTGAGCCTGAGTCATGGGGAGGCCTCTGTGTTGGTGAGGGTCCATCAGGAACGGGGGCTCACTCCACTAGATCACACAGGCAGGGTTCACTACGGAGCTGTTTACCATGTGTGCTGTGCAGGGGAGACTGTTCCATGAGGTGACCACTGCCTGACCCTTGTGGACCCTCGAGCTCGATCCAGCTGATCTGGGCCAGAACAGAGACTGCTTCCCAGGGATCCACTCAGAGAACCTGGAACCTCCCCCTGCCCCAGATGTGCCGGTTCCTGGAACTGGCCCTCACCCACCCCAGGCATGTAAGTCATTCCCCTTATCTGGGCAGGTCATGCCCCAGTTCCCTACCTATCCTGCCTGTCCGGTGTGAGCTTTAGGCTTTGCCAGGTGGTGGGGAGGATATGCATGTTGTATTGCTGCCACCCACGCTGTTCCTGGTATGAAAGTCACCATGGTGAACTCTTGATATCATTAATCTAGAGTTTATAGAGAATTTTTATTTTGTGGTTGTGGAAGGGGATAGACTACATGGGAGAGAGCTGACCCAGAACCAGGAGCAGTGAGCTGTCACCACCAGTCCCTAAACTCTTAACCCAAGGGGGTCGGGGAGTGGGGAGAAGCTTTTTGAAGACTTGCAATAACCTAGTCCTGTAGGGAGGGATTTCTTAAGAGGAGCTGTGGTGTCAGGAAGGGATGTAGCTGATGAGGCCCTGCAGAGAGAAAGCCAGGACCTCCACCCCCACCTTCCTTTCCTTCCTGTGCAAGGCAGGGCTGTGCCCCGAGAAAGGGAAATGATGTTGGACATGAACGATGTCATGGAACAGAAGCATCAGACAAGGATGCTTTGTCCCTGTGATGGGTCAGGACAAAACAAGACCACTCAGTCATCAGGTCTGAACACAGAATAAAACATGAACAGTGTCCAGACCACAGCAGTGAGCAATCATCCCCTGTCCTAGGGGTGAGTGAAGAGTTACACCTCACACCCTCCTGACAGCATCTCACCAACAGCAAAGCCCTCCTTCCATAAACCCTCCCCTGGTCCCCTATCAGCCCCAAAGTTACACCAAGTCTCCCTAACACCCCCTCATGGGGACACCCCATGTTTCCACACTGTGTGTTCTCCTCACTGCAACTAGTCTTGAGCTCAACTTGTTCAACTGCAGGTGTGATCCTGGGGCCTTTGGTTGGAGGAAATGGCAGCACAGGTGATGTCCCTGCAGCTCAGCCTCCCTGAACCCACAGCAGCGAGCACCTGGGGGGCCCGGGTCCACTTCCTGGAACACAGCTGAACCCATTCAACCGTGTGCCCCGCACTGAGGGGAGGTTTTCTCAGCCTTCCTGCCCTGATCCCACATCCCTGCTGAGACCCTGGTGGCTGCAGGAGGGACGTCTTCACATGGTTCAGGAGGAGCCCTTCCTGCAGGAAAACCTGTGGATGTCAAGGGCCCAGAGAAGCAGAGGTGGAGGAGGGAGGCACCTGCTGGGGTGTAGGGAGGAGTCTGTGACGTGGGCTTGGAGCCTGTGTCCCCAGGCCCCACAGAAGAAGGTGCTCAGAACAGGCTCAGGCTCACCTGCAACCTTCAGCTCCACCTGGGCTTTTGCAACGAAATCCGCATCTTGGAAATAACACTGGTAGGTTCCACTGTCAGAGGCTCTGACCTTGTGAATCCGCAGAGCAGCCTTCCCCTCAGCGATGTTCTCTCTTAAAATCGACATTCTCCCTCGATACTCTGCTATCTCTGTTTCTTCTTTGCCATCTGCATATGCACGCACCGCCTGCCTGAGGCCGGATCGCAGCCACATCAGCTCCATGGTCTCAGCGCTCATCTTCGGGGACAGGTGACAGGGCAGCTCAGCAACTTCACCCACCATGGCCAGGATGGGCTCAGGGGGTCCAATCACAGCAAACTCAGCTGGTGAGCAGAAAGGGGTGCTCCATCAGAGAGAGCTGGAGGCCAGAAGGTAAGGAGGTGTCCCAGGGAGGGAGGGTGAGGTAAGAAACACCTAGAAAGGGACCCAGTTCTGACAGGTGTACAGTCTGGATGGGCCTCCCAGGTGTGGGGAGGAGCCCAAGGTTCTGACTGGGCATTATAGGTAACTGATCCAGGTACATAAATGCACATGGTCCCTACCTGAGCAGGGCATGAGCAGCTGGACCAAAGCGAGGCAGACAGGCAGGTGGAGCAGATGGAAGGCCAGGGGCCTCACCATTGTGGGCTGTTGTGCAGACAGAGAGACACCAGAAGGAGTTGGTAGAAATGACGACCTGGAGGAAGATGGAGAATGGACTCCCCAGGGCCGAGTCCAGTGCAACCACCATCACTGGTGACCCCAGAGCCTCCTCTCAAATGCCTGCTTGGGAGTCTCTTCACCTTTGACTCCAACATGGAAAACCACCCTAAAGTCTGTAACCTGAAGTGTCCGTCCCTTGGCCATGGCCACCTGGGAGTCCTGGGCTCTGTGTCCAATGGGCTCACAAGCTTCCATTTGCCCACACTTCCTGGACAGCCTGTCTGTGTTCCAGCATCTCACTCTGATTAACGCAGGACCCCCCTCTTTGAGCCCCAGTTCCACTGGGGCCCCTCAGTCTCTGCTCCACCCACAGCCCGAATGCTCCTGCCTCCCTCACTTCACCCCTCTCCTCAGCCTCCAGGGGCTCCCACTGCCCTCAGAGCAGGAGCTGGAGTCCTCTGCTCCCTGTACTTTCTAATTATCTGAATGTTTGAAATTTTAAGATTTCGTAGAGAGGAATGTATTTCCACTGATTTGGGGGGATAGTTATTGTTTTTATTCTTGATTATAAACTATTTCAAAATAAAAATAAGTAAAATTTAAATAATTTATAGTGGAAACCACATACTTTGCTACATATGAATGTAAATATTTCTGGACATATTCTGGAGATATATATATATATCCAAATAAATATAAATATACATATATTTGCCTTAAAATATTTTATTCTTTAACCTAAATATACCTCTTGCAGAATTACTCCTAAAGAAAAAATATCAGGCATTAACACAAAGTTTTATCTTTAATGCTGTTCATCATAGTAAAATCTACAATACCAAAATGTACATACAATTTAAATTCCCAAATTGGATACAATTTTGTAATAATAACAAAAATTTTTATTAAAAACATGATTCCTAAACCTACAGCTACGATCATACTTAATGGTGGAAAGCTGAAAAGTTATTCTCTAATAACTAAGATCAGGAATAAGACAAGGATGCCCACTCTCACCACTTGTGCTCCCACAGTATTGGAAGTCCTGGCCACAGCAGTCAGACAAGACAAAGAAATAGAAAGCATACAAATCAGAAAGGAAAAATAAAACTCTCACTGTTTTCAGAGGACATGATACAATATATAGAAAAACCTGAGAATTACACACACACACACACACACACACACACACATCCCCATATGAACCAATCAATGAGTTCAGTAACGTTGCAGGATAGAAAATCAGCAACTTGTTGCATTTCTATACAGCAATAATGGATAATCAGAAGGACAAAATTTAAAAATCTCATTTACAAGTTTACCCACAAAGCATAAAATATCCAGGAATAAATTTAACAAAAGAAATGAAAGACTTTTAGACTGAAAACTATAAGACACTGAAGAAAGAAATTTAAGAGGATACAAATAAAAGGCGAAAGATTTATGCGATCTGAAGAGAAACCAGAGTATTAAGAGGATACAAATAAATAGAATGATAGGCTATACCATGCTCATGGGTTCGAAGGATTAACATTGTTAAAATGTCCTTACTGCCTAAAGCAACATCCACATTCAATACAATCCCTATTAAAACACCAATGACCTTCTTCTCAGAGATAGAACAACTCATCCTAAACTTATATGGATCCACAAAGATCCCTAATGTCCAAAGAAGTCTTGAGAAAGAACAGAGTTGGAAGCAACCTACTCCCTGATATAAAACTATACAAAAGTGCCTACAGTAATAACCAGCATGGTACTGGCATATAAACAGACACCCAGTTCAATGGGGGCAGGCAGACAGCTCAGAAAAGAACCCTCACTTATACGGTCAATTAATCTGTGGCAAAGGAGGCAAGAATATGCAGTGGGGTAAAGACAGTCCTTTCAAAATGGTGCTGGTAAAACTGGACAGATACATGCAAAAAAAAATGTAAGTGGTTCACTTTCTTACACCAAATTAAGAATAAACACAATATGGATTAAAGATTAAATGTGAGCCCCCAAACTATAAAACTAAAAGAAAACAGAGGCAGTGAACACCTGACATTGCTCTTAGTAATATATATTTTCATATGTGTCCTCAGGCAAGGGCATGAAAATATACAATAAACAAATGGGACCATATGACACAAAAGGACAACCTACTGAAGGGAAGACTATATTAGCCAACGATACATTGAATATGGAGTTAATATCCAAAATTTATTTTAAAAAACTCATACAATTTAACAGGAAAAAAACAAACAATACAATTTAAAAGGGGGCAGATGACCTGAATAGACATTTACCTAAAGAGGAGGTACCGATGACCAATAGGCTACTGTCAGACAATGTGATGTTTATCCATTCTTCAATTGTTGTATACGTATGCTGTCTCATATATTTTTATATTACAATACAACAGGACCAATGCACGAAATTCATGCAAGGGCTTGGCCCTCGCTACCCTGGCTTTGTCAGGAAGGTAGTTTAGCCATCTGGTCTAATCAGCAAATTACCCTTTATTATTCTAGATTACATATAATTCTGTAAAGACCACCTTTTCATATAAATCTTTAAGCCACACATCCTGTAACTCACCCCACCATTATTTTAACGTTATTTCTGTAAACGTGACCGCACATAAACAGCCTGTTCGCTTAAGAATTCTAGGCACTAACTTCAGGAGAAACAGACTCCAACCTCCAGACATTCCATTTGCGAACATTTGCTGACCTTCAACCAGTAATCTGAGCAGACTGTGTTGGCTGGCACTTAGTCCCCTCAATGGAGAACTCTCGACCCCTCCTTTTTGTTCCTTTCTTGTTCTTCCCCCCTCTCCTCTTCCTCACAAAAACCCCTGCCTGTGTCCAACTGTCTTTGCGACATGAGTCTACCATCTTCTGAAGCTGCAGGCTCGGGAATAAACCTACATTCCTCCCACCAGTCGGATGATCTCTATGTGGTCTTTCCAGTGGCAGGCAGTTGAACCTGGGTTCAGTATCAACCTGTCTTTTAGAATCTCTTAGAACACATCCCTTAGAGAAGCAGGCGAGCCTGTCAGAGGCCTTAATGACCACAGTAAGTTCTTAGGAACATGCAGTTGTCAGACTCACTCATTCCAGTTGTCTCCCTCCCACAGATTTCTGAGTTCAGGCCTTACCTTGCCCTGCCAACCAGGTCTCACCGTGTCCTCACCTGCAGGCTCACCCAGCTTATCAGCCTCTCTCCTAAAGAGACCTGGAGCCCTGGCTTTTACCAACTCCCCCACTTACAGTTGGCACTTTCAGCTGAAAACCACAGAACAAAGGCCCTCCTTAGGTCTTCATTACAGTTGAGTCTCTGATCTGGAATAAAGGGTGGGGAAAGAAAGCTTGCTCAGGAGGAGAAAAAGTGCAAAGTCCCTCTTTGAAAGCACTTGTTAAAAATAAATGATAATAATCTTAACTTTGCTCTGGGTGTGTGATCGGTGGGGTGCTCTATGTGTCTCCACCTGTTCCTGGTGGGAGTGGGTTCTTGGGGGGCCACGGGAACAAAAACTTCCTGAGGCCCCACAGGAGGATGAGGTTCTGGGGAAGCTTTATTTCTGTGGAATCAAACCCCTGAGTTTCCAAGGCCCCTCTCCCTCCGTCCTGCCATGAAAAAGCCCCATTTTGTCTTCAGCAGAACCAGGATTGCAGCCATTCCCAGAGTGTCTGCTCCATATTTGCACAGTCCCATCCAGTCCAGCTTCTGGCTGGGGGAGCTTGTGCTCCCAGCTGTAGTCCATGGCCTGTGGGTCTGCATGGCCATGCTCCATTCAGCTCCTAGGACCACATGGCAGCCTAGCAGGGGTCACTAGCAAGGAAGAAGCAGGACAGCAAGCAAGAGCAACCAGAGGGAGAGAGTCCTTAGTCTGGAGATTATGTATTCCCAAACATTGATGGGCCTGCATTGGGTGCACCCTTTTAGCCAATGCTCTTTGTTCCCAGGTTAGACTGACAGGCAAGCCCCATAGACTGGCTCCCTGGGGAGTGTCAAGTTGCAGCTTCCTGGTGAGGCTGCCCAGATGACCTTGCTTATTATGTCTGGCTTCCCCTTTGCTCCTTCCCTATTATTAATATGAATGGCCAGCTTGTTATGAGGGCAACAGGTGTGTGTGTGTATATTACACAGGATTCTATTACAATCATGCCTCAAGACAGCAATCATGCATCAAAACAAACACCAATGTCTCAGGAGATTTTATCAACATTTATG